ATTCGCACAAATCTACAATCACAGCTCCGAAACAACCACCTACAGTCTCTGATGGAATCCCCTTACGAATCCCTTGTATTAAAGGATTCTTCGAAACCAAGTTTTTCTACATGCCTATGAATAATGAAATTGCTTGCGAAAAAGACAGACTTTTTACTGAGTTGAAAGTATTCAAAGAATCTCAACCTAAATGAACATAGCAAACATGCGCCGATGATCGTTGGATGTTAAAAGGTAACCTGTCCGTGATTAATAAGAAATGGATATTGTTTTTCCTATTACTCCCTATTTGGGTGCTATTTTAAGATAAATACTAAGCCTTCTTGAGCACTTGATAGAAGCCTCCTTTATTTTTGGTGGTCGGCGTTCTTTGCCGCAGATCGGCTTTATGTTATTGTAGATTTTTTAGCTAAAGTGCATTTTAAAGATTTGCCTTATCTGCAAAACTACGTCGACTCGCACAGTAAAACATAAGTAGGTGTTAGATCTAAATTCGAATTCAGTTACAAACTCTGATTATTATGCATAATTTGTGGTTTAGTTCTTGAATTAAAATAAATAAAATAAATAAATTAGCTTTCTATATCTAAGTGTATTATTATGAGGTATTTGTGCAGATCTAATGGCAAGCGATAGAGAGTGTAAAGTGAAAAATTACCCCAATTTTTATCGAACCAATGGAAATGGATAAATGGTGATGGGCATACTTTAATCAGTTCATATAAAAATATATAATAAAGAGATTCTTTAGTTGACCTCACAGTCATCTCATCGTTCAAGTTGACACTCCCGTCTTATTCTAGAGTACTAGGATGTGCATGGGTTTGTTGGCTGGTACCCCCCGCTTGCCTCTTCTTAAAGTTCACATCTTCTTAAAATACATATAAGCACCCATGCACACATCCTGGTGACCTATATCAGGCCCATCTATAGATTTAGCCTTTTATTTCATATCCTAAATTACACAGGTGGACCAAAAAAGTAAACTTTCGACTGATTCCAGGTTTGACTCGTTTCACTGCTATCGCATTTTCTTCCTTTAACTTTATCAGTCACGAGCCGCTCATTGTTGATATCTCTTCCGGCTGTTGAGCAGTTGTCATAGGTCGAAGAGTTAACTTTTTGATGTCTTCGCTGAATCTCTAAATGTGCCCCGGCAATACGCAAAATAATCACTAATTCTCCCATTTTCTTTGGAATAGAATGTCCACAGCCTCCATAATCTTCCGTTTTCTGGTGCTCTCCCCAACCAATTGTAGCGCCGGTAAGGGCGATGCGTTCAGCCATCTCCAATCTTTCGGTATCCTATGTTTCGGCATGGAAGCTAAAGTTATTTGATCATTGTGCTGATTATTTTTTTCGTCTCGCCGATGTACTTTTGTTCATAGTCCTTGCAGTTTAGGTCGTAAACTCCGGAGTACTCTGATTTGTTGGCTCCTTCATGTTGTGTGGACAAACAAGTAAAGAGAGTTGCCCTTCCATTCAGAAGGATTATAAGATTGTTCCCTTTTTACAAACGAATCCATAAAGAGTCTCTAACCTAGTGAATCAACCCAACAATAAAGACTACTAAGTTCACATCCAACCACCGGATCTATGAGCAAATTTTTGGTCTGCCTATGGGTTCACCACTCTCTCCTCGGTTGGCTAATCTCTTCATGGGTCAGTTGGGGGAGAATTTCAAAATGTCATCTCAGCAGCCAACAGTAATTGCGCGATTTTTGGATGATTACCTTGCAAGCTGGTTGCACAAAAAAGAAAAATGAGACGAGCTCCTGATCTTCATAGAGAAAATGGATGAAAGTCAAATTTGGTTTGGATGTAGAAGAGAACGAACACTTACCTTTCTTGGATGTAGGCATCTCTCGCTCCGAGAAAACTTTCAACATAAGACTTTTCCGTAAGATATCGCATGCTAGAATACATCTTAACTTGTCGTCAAATCACACTTATGGAATAGAGATTGGAATACTCTCCAGTATGGTCATAAGAAGCCTACGACTGACTGATTGAATTTACTCACAATCACTGAGAAGAGAAGCCGGAAGTATTAACTCTGAAGTTTCTTGCGAACGGATATCCAGACGAAGCAATACAACGCATCAAACGGATGCTGATGAACAGATGGAAGTTTGGAGATTATGAAAGGAAAACAAGAAGAACAGAGTAAAAACGTTAGAATTGTCTACCCTCCTGCGAATTTGAAATGAAACATTCGTACAATCGTCATGAAGGGAAGAACAACTCTCTTCCCCTGCGAGCCCACAGAACATGAAGAAGCCAACTAAATGGACTGTTATGATGTTTAAGAATCAGACTGCAAGGACTGTAAATAAAAATAGATCGAAGAGCTGAGAAGGACAATCAGCACAAGGATCAAAGAACACCAGCAACTTTGCAGAAAATTGGATGCGAAAAGATCGGAGATAGCCAAACGCATTGTCCTTACCGGCCGCACAATTGACCGGAATGCAACAGAAACTTCCCTCATATGTGGAAAGCAAGAATAGATGAAAGATCAGAGAGGCCCTGGACATTCTCTTCCAAAGAAACATGATGAAAAGAAGATTAGAAGAGAGAAGATTTAGCGTTTATTTTGTGTACTGCCGGTACAGATTTGCAGATTTAGCGAAGACATCAAGAAGAAGACTCTTTGACCCAGGACAATTGGTCGACTCATGAGGGACGTAGGGTATGAAATTCAGGGCCAAATGTATGGGTAGACCAGATATAGGTCTCCAGTGTGTGTGTATGAGTGTTTGTGAGCATTTTTAGTGTATGTGCCTGAAGAAGAGGTGACTGGCGACATGCTTGTCCACATTGGATTCCAGTCAGCAAACACATGCACATCGTAGTACACTAAAATTAGAATGGAGTGTCAACTTGAAGGCCGAAAGAAGTGTGATTTTCGCGAATCAAGGGAAAG